GCACCTCCCCTGCCCAGAACGCGAGCGCCGTGCCGCGGCCCCCCGCGTCGACCCCCCGTGCCGCGGGCGGCTTCGCCCCGGCCACGGCGGCCTCCAAGTCGGCGGCCTCGGACCACGTCTACGACGCCACGTCGACCGACACGCTCGACCTCTCCAAGATCATCGCCGCCGAGTCGGACGACTTTCTGCGCAGCCACTACAGCGCGCCCAAGCCCGAGCTGCGCCTCAAGCCCGTCCTCGGCCGCACCTTTCACTGCACGCCCCGGCGGGACATGGCCGGCGCCCTCGCCGTCCTCGGCAGCGCCATGCGGGCCAACAACACGAAGAAGCTGGCGCGCCTGCAGAAGCGCCACGAGAGGCCCGGCCTCAAGAGGAAGAGGCTCAGGAGCGAGCGCTGGCGGGCCAGGTTCAAGATTGGCTTCGCGGCCACCGTGTCGAGGGTGCAGGAGCTGCGGAACCAGGGTTGGTGAGAGAGAGGGCTGGTCCAAGATGAGTCGTGTGGCGCGTGTTGTAGGATAGGTTTGTGTCATGTAGAATACAGCCAGAGGCGCGTGGGAAGCGCAATTACAGCGTACTGATCAGCTCAGGCGTGCATGGAGACGCATGTGATGTGGAAACTACGTGCATTCGCGCTAATGGACCAGGCTACTACAGATACTCGTCGTTCTCTATAGGCCGTCGCGGCGATGCTGCCGGACTCGTCTGCAGCCTCGGCCGGCTCTTGAACACAGCCTCCATGTCCTCCCCCTGGATGAGCTCATCCGCCAGCACCGACGCGTCAGCATCCAGTTCCGTCGTCTCTTCCTCGACCTTGGGGAACAGACGCCCCTCCTGTCTCGGCGGTGGCGGCAGCCTCGACTGTCGCTGCGAGCGCCGCCGGTCGAGCTGGGCCTTCTTTCTCGCAGCCTCGAACCCCGCCATGCTCTTCCTCGTCCGCGAGGCGAGATCGTCAAGCGCGCTGTCTCCGAGGTCGAGGGTCGCGTCGTCGTCGTCCTCCTCCTCCTCGGTCGGCGTCGCCATCGGGGCCGGGCGTATGGGCAGCGTCCTGAAGTCGAGCTCGTCTTCGTCTTCGGGCGTGAAAGCCTTGCCGCCAAAGGACATGCGGGCCATGGACATGCGGGTGCGTTCAGCCAGGGACAAGGTATGCCGAGGCTTGTTCTGCTTGACGGGCGAGGGGGATGCGGCAGCCATGGACTCGAGAATCTGGTCTGCCATGTTCTGTGTTGGCGAGGGGGGTTCGGGCGAGGGGGTCCGTTCTGGTTCGAGAATGATGCTGGGCCGCATCGGTTTCTCCGGGGACCGACTCCTGGATCGGTCGGATGTCCTGCTGCCCGATGCGTGGGAGCCCTGTGATGAGAAACGTGACAGGTTGACGACGGGGCGGTCTTTGGTGATGGAGGATGTGTTGCGGTGGACGACCGGGCGGCGGTTGGAACTTCGTCTTGACAGCTCCTGTGGGGGATCGGCCGGTGGCTCGCTCCATTGCGAGGAGGAAGGAGCCGAAGACTGACTGTTGTTCCTCCTATGGGCAGGATTCAGCGGTAGGGCGGCTTCCAGGATGGGTTCTTCCTCCTCCTCCTCCTCCAACTCGCTGATTTCAGAGACGCCCTCCTCGGTGCCGCCGTCCGTGCCCACAGAGAGCCTGTCGGGCCGTGTCGATTCGCGCAGGCCCGGCCCCAGCAACGACCTGATGTCTGTCCTCGGTGCGACCCCAATCTGCGACCAGTCCTTCTTGCAGTCGTCGAGAATGCTGGCGTGCACGGGGTCGAGCTCTGGAGCTTGCAGCGAGAGCTTCTCTCGCGCAGGAAACTGTCCGAGATGGAGATCCTCGTGGGCGCCGAACCCGAGATGGATGCCGCGCTCCTTGCGTTTCGCTGCATCTGCCAGCGGCTTCCCATCCGGCTGGCGACCGAACATCGTCTCCTGGAAGTTTTGCCACTTCTGTAGACTCTCACGCTGCGCCTTGACGCGGCCTTCGAGCTGCTCGAGGAGTCCTTTCCCATGGTCCTCGAGCTCTGACAGGCGGCCAGCCTCGACGCGCCGCCAGACGCGATCAAAAGGGGCGGACAAGACGCCATCGTTCCGGGCGGTCGCGTCGCCCTGCAGCAGCGTCTCCATCCAGCGCTCGCTGCCTGTCCAGTTATTGCGCAGCATCCTCCGCATGTCGAGCACCGCATCCGCCGAGACGGCCTCGCCCGGCCCCTTGGCCCTGCAGGCTTCAGCCTCGGCCTGTCTCCTCGCGATGCTCCTTTCCTTGATGTCGAGCAGCTCGCTGAGATCCTTGTAGCGGCGGCGGGCCTCGTTCTTGCGGCGCAGCACGTGCGTCAGCGACACCCTGTGGGCGAGCGCCAGGGCCACGAGCTCGCCCCTCTCGCCGCCGTAGCCCCTGTTCTCGAGCGCCAGCTGCTCGGCGATGGCGGGGTGTTCGCCCTCGGCCTCGGAGGCGGCGGCGGCCATCTTTTTGAGGACGGCCGAGGAGAAGACGGCGAGGACCTCCTCGAGGCGGTCGCCTTTGCAGTCGTCAAGCATGGTCTTGCGCACGACGGCGTCGCGGCCGAGGGCGCCGTTCTTCTTGGCTTGTTCGAGACATCGCTGCAGGGCGGATCGGAGATTGATGGACTGAACCTGGTCGCGGGGCGGGAAGTATGGTTCCAGTTTCTTCTGACGTCAGCGCAAGAGAGCTCGAGGCCGGGACGGGGCTTACCTACAACGCGTGTCTCCTCGGGATCCCAGAGGGCGAAGAGCTGGAAGAGGGCCCATTCTACGCTCTGAATGCGTCTCTTCTGGATGGCCAAGGTCTGGGCGTCGAAGGCGGGCCAGTCGGGGTACGAGTCAAAGTCGAGAAGTCGCAGGTTCGTCAGGAAGATGGAAAGGTTGGGGGTAACTGTCGGTGTAGCAGCTGCTTGAGGGGTAGCTGTTGCTGCTGCCGTTGCCGCTGCTGCTGCTGATGACGGGTTCCTGTTGCTGGCTGAGCGTAACGATCTCGACCGAGCTAGAAGGGAGTTTGGCGGTGCGGAAGCCATGGCGGCATCGTGACGTCGGTGTAGGGCTGTTGGGAGGACTGTTGCTCCAGCTCCAGGTATTCGGCGGTGATGCTTCAATGTTGTTTCTGGGTCGGTGTTGGGGTCTCTGGGGCATCCCATTGCACCTGTCCAATGGAAGCGGTGGAGGGGGGGATCGTCAATTTGGCGGGACCCGCCAGGCACAGGCACAGGCACAGGTACGGCGTAGGCACAGGCATAGGCACAGGCACAGACACACCTGGCGACGAGACATTAGGGGTCCCCCCCCCCGGGGCACTAGCTGTAACGGGCTCGCTGCGTGCAGGTCCACAGCACTGCCAGCCCACCATTGACCGCCGATGTGTGTTTGAAGTGAAAGCTGCCACTGGCGAACAGCTGCAGCAGGAAAGCTGTCAGTGGAATGTACCAAAAATGGCCATGTCGAAGGCTGTATTTTCCGAAGACCAGATTCTCCACATGACCATCTGTGTTGCCCATCACCACCGACCTTCGCTTCCGTTCAGATAACATGGTGGGATAAGAACGGCACTCCCTTTGCTCCGAGGCTGGGATCATTCATCATAGAAGGAATCGACCCTGGGGACAACAAGTGGACATGCCATTGCAAGCGGTGGCTAAGGGAGCCTTCACTGCAGACCTGCTCTTTCACCGGCATGAGCATGATAAAATAGACATGGAGGTGACGTACCACGTCGTTTCATTAGATGGCAACGCGAGTATCCTTTTTTTCCGCCTATTTTCTAGCAAGCGTACGATCTAGAACGGTTGCCAATACCTTGAGATTGGCCACAACTCCAATATATAACGACGTGTGATTCATACTACCGAGGATGGTATAACATGTCCTCCAGGTTGCGATTTCCCCTGTGGTCTGTCCACACTTTTGAAGCTCTGCACTTGTCGTAGAGTATTGTTTGGTGGCCTGAGTGTAAAGAACACTGTATTGATCATTGGATCGCCGTGCCCGATGTCATGTTCCAACATCTTTGCATCAGCCAGTCCCTGGCTCTAACGACCAGCCTGCCTTCCACCTCCCGCTGGAGTATCGTCTCATTCCCCAGTTCCGGTTCCCCAGTCCAATGTCGTCCCGTCGCCGTCGCCGGAGGCTGTGCTGGGCTGGCGGACCCACCCCCGCACCCCGCACTTTACCCCTGGCCGGGCCAGCAGTCTGCAGCCGCTACTGTTAAGGCCGACAAGCCGAGGCTCGTCTTCGACTTGACCTCATCAGCATCCTCAACTCAACATTTCACGATTTTTCTTCGTAACCTCCCTTTGCTCTCGTACACAGATTCCGTTCATCTCCACAGCCTACTATTCTCAATTACCTGACCTGAAGTCGCAAAGCAGGATCGTACAGTCCTCGGCTTGACCTCCATTTCTTACTACTACAAGGCCAACCAGCTGCCGAACCAGACGAAACAACTGTTGTCTCCCTCTCCCTCCAGGGAGCCAGTCGCCCGCCATGAGTCTTCCCAGCAACCTCGCGTCGCCTCCGCCCGAAGTTCTGAACACGGTCGTCACATTCCCGGCCCCCCACGTCCTCCTCATCACTCTCAACCGCCCCGCCCAGCTCAACGCCGTCCCTCCCGCCCAGCACCACGCCCTGCTGGCCCTCTATGAGTGGTACGACGCCCAGCCGTCTCTCCGCTGCGCCATCCTCACCGGCACCGGCCGCGCCTTCTGCGCCGGCGCCGACCTCAAGGCCTGGGACGCGAAGAACAGGGGCGTCCCCGGCCAGGCCGCCCCCGGCAGCGACGGCAAGTGGCCCTCGACCGGCGGGTTCGGCGGCCTCTCCAACAGGAACGGCAAGAAGCCCGTCATCGCCGCCGTCAACGGGCTCTGCCTCGGCGGCGGCTTCGAGATGATCACCAACGCCGACCTCGTCTACGCCCTCGCGTCCGCCAAGTTTGGCCTGCCCGAGGTCAAGAGGGGCGTCGTGGCCATTGCCGGCGCGCTGCCGCGGATCGCCCAGATCCTCGGCAGGCAGAGGGCGTCCGAGATGGCCATGCTCGGCGACATGTACACGGCCGCGCAGATGCGCGACTGGGGCATCGTCAACGGCGTCGTCGAGGGGTCCGCTGATGACTTGATCAGGGCCGTGCTCCAGGTGGCGGAGAAGCTGGCGAACAACTCGCCCGACTCCATCATCGTGACGAGGGAGGGACTGATGAGTGGACTCGGGGGCGAAGCCCCTCAGCAGGCAACGAATCGGGTCGAGGCGGGCATCTATCAGCAGCTCGAGGGCGGCGACAACATCAAGGAGGGCGTTCTGGCCTTTGTGGAAAAGAGACAGCCCGTCTGGAAAGACAGCAAGCTGTAAATGCAGGTGCGACATGATTTGTGGCAGAGGATGGCGTTGGCGCGTTGGCTCGCTTACACAAAGTTGAATTATTTCTTGCCATTGTCATGATTTCGCGTGATACCCGTGCGGGTGTGATCAAGTCTGTGGAAAGTGTAGTGTACAGTGCGACCCAGTCTTGGAATCAGAGATCTGAAATGATCGGGCATCAAGATATCACAACATACATGGCTTTCAGTCCTGATTTCCAAAAGAGTAAGAAAAAGAAAAAGACTGTAGAGACACAGTCCACGCCAGGTTCCTCCAACACAAGCCATACCCTGATGCCTGTCAACTCATGGTCGAGGCTTCATCGTTCAGGACGAGAGCCGTCACATACTTTCCAAACAGATCTCTGCAGTAGCCACCTCAAACCCCCTTTTCAACGGTCTTCTCGTCTCCCTGGACATGCATGACCTGCCCAGAAGCTCCCGCCTCATAATCCTTATCGTGGTCGGACACTTCAACCTCCCCAGGAACTCCCATGCTCGATTGCCAATGCATCAAGACCTTATCGCCTGTGAACAACCTATCGATCTGCTCCAGTGTCAGGTTCTTCGTCTCGGGATAGAAGAACCAAATGAGCGGCAGGAAGGCAAAGTTGAACACGCTAAAGTAGGTGTACGTGTGATGGCCAACATCTTGAATACTAACGGGCGTAACCTTGACCACGACAAAGGTGAAGAGCCAGTTGGACGCCGTGGCCAAGGCTGCGGCACGCGTTCGGATGGTGAGCGGGGCGTACTCGGCTGGTAGCAGCCACGGAATGGCGAGGAGACCGACGGAGAAGAAGCCGTTGAAAAGGAACAGCATGACCACGGCAACGATACCTGCCGACTTGCCCCCGTCTGCGACGGTGCCGGAGAGAATGGCCATGCAAGCGCACTGACCAGCAGCGGCAAAGAGCATCAGGTTGCGGCGGCCCACGCGATCGATGATCCAGATGGGGATCAGTGATGTGAGGAAGTACGCAATGCCATTGAAGCCGGCGAGTAGCAGGGATAGGTTTCTTTCGAGGCCAACGGACTTCTGCATGATGACTGGTGCGTACTAGTAATCCTTGTCAGAGTTCATTCAAATCATGGGCTTCCAGCAGACTATGAGAACTAAGGCTGGGAGGGTGGGCAGAGGTAATACTCACATAAGTAATGAGGTTGATTCCAGAAATTTGCTGCATGAACTGGCCACCAATACCAAGCAACGTCCGGTAGCGCAGTCTTTGAGGTCCGTCGTGAAGCAACATCTTGTGACTGCCAGCTTGTGAAGCCTCACGCTCCTCACGAACGGCATCTTGGATTTCCCTCATATACTGATTGATACGAGAGCCGTTTGGATCCAGTGTTTTGGCGTCTGTTTCCACAGCCCACAAGATCTTCCGCGCCTCGTCGTGACGGTCGTGGGCGATCAGCCAACGAGGCGACTCTGGCACAACGAAGGCGATGGTGAGGAACGTCATGATAGCGAACAGGATCTGCAAGGCAAGTGGGAAGCGGAACTGAGCATCATTGGCAACAAAACTCATGCCATAATTTGTCCAGTAAGACAGTGCGACACCTGGCAGCCGTTAGCTTCGTTATTCGTCCGTGTAAAGGGGGGAGGGGGAGGGGGTCTGGACAGCGCACCGAAGATGTTGATAGCCAGCTCGATGGCAAGGCCTTTGCCTCTGCTCTTTGGCTTCATCAACTCCGAATGCCAAACAGGAATGGTACTTGTGTTCATGCCGTTGCCCAGGCCAGCGACAATTCTCCCAATAATCATTTGCGGGATGCCATAGGCCGACGCTTGAAGCACGGCACCGACACTTAGAACAACACACCCGATCATGATACTCCAGCGACGACCGAGCTGTTCACCCCAGAAGAGGCAGATCAGAGCACCGAAAAGACAGCCAATCTCGTAAATCGAAACTACCAGACCTTGTAAATTAGCGCTGCCATTGGCATTATCGCTTGTGTCAATCTCAGGAAAGGTTCGCGTGAAGGCATCGCCGGTGAGCATTCCACTCATAACGCCCTGATCAAAGCCGAAGAGCAAGAATCCCGAGCCTGCGGCTATCGTGATCTGCGTTTGCAGGGCTTTCCCTGTGAGGAAAACCATGGTGTTCTTCTGCAGCCGTCAGACAGCAGACGACGAGACAATGATTGGGAAACAAATTGGAAATTCTGCGTCAACCTGGGGCGATGGACAAAGTGAGATGATGATTTTAGTGGAAGACCGCTTTCAGAGCTGGAAAGATGTCATGTTGATTCGCTTGGATTCTGGGTATCGTGGGTCTTAGTTATAATCACCTCAATGCCATCAGACCTGACGCGGTATCAGAACGAATCGGACGCACACCGCATCATTCCAGACTATTCCTGCCTTCGGGCCTCTCTCTCCACACTCGCGGGGACCCCACGGGCAGAAGAGATTCAAGTATGCAGCCCTGATGAGACCATTTTCCTGGGCCAGAATGACTCGCGGGATCGGCCAATATTAGGTGAAACAATCCTCGGCAGTCAAATTGCAGCCTGGTAGAGCAATTGCAAGCGCAGCAGCGTCGGATCCGTCGCCGATCGCCCGAGCCGGAGGGCAAAGTCCGCAGCCGGCGTGGGCAGACATTGCTAGGGTGATCGCGTGGAACTTCCTCACCCGCCAGAACGCCGGTGCCATGACGTTTGCCCGCTTAGCCGACCAGACTTGCACTGCACGCCTGGCTTGGCAAACGTGAGGACGAAAACCGGCGGGATGGGGCTCAAAATTACAACACCCAACATGCAGACAGACTCCAGAGCGTGAGATTGAAGGCCGACGGCGCTTCTGATTTCGTCCTTGGCCAGTGTTGGTGTTCCGTTGCGCCAGCAGGCTCCCACAACGGCGATACTCGCCAATCCTGAGGTTAATCGTGAAATGCAAGACAAAAAGCGACTATTTCCAAGCACTCCATAAGCCCAATGAAGAGACTGTTATGAGTGTGTGGTTAATTGCCAATTTGGTGACTTTCTTGTCTCTCTCTTGCCAATGCGCAAACTTCATGGGTAGTTACGTTGATTGCGTGTACATGTCCGCCGCATCAAGAACAATCCAGGCACTCGAGCTTCAGATGTCTAACATGACAATCGTTTTTTCCACTAAGATTTTTTTTTGGAAGTATTGTTCGGGGCCTAGCTCTCAGGGATAGGAATTTCTTCAATGTATCGTACCGCGCATTGGGACTACAAGTAGCACTGATGTATCTCTTTAGTGCTTCCGAGGCGTCAATACTTGAAGAGGAAGAAGCTTCCCACAACAACAGGGTGGGTAGCTCAGAGTCTGCTCTACATTTGCCCCGAAACATGACAGAGGGTGATATTCAACAGCCAGGACATCAGAGAGCATCTGTAGAAGACCCTGAAAAGAGATGCTCTGAAAGACGTCCTGGAGAGTGCGGCGGCGACGCTGAGAAAGACTAGTCTGCTTTGCTGCCAACCGCGTTCTGGATCAAGACACTAAACACCGATGGTCTTCAGAATGTTGGCCAGGCCCTCTGCATCCCCAGCCAGAGACCCGGCTGATTCTTTCTTCACCCACCCTTTCGTGTATCCACCGCCGAAATCGGTGACCAAAGCATCGTCGTTCTCATCGATCAACACGTTGGCCGCCTTCACGCCCCAAATAATACCAGCCGTATGTAAGGCCTCAACAGTGCAGCAAACCTGGTTCTTCCACTTTTGCTTCAAATCGGTAGACGTATGAGGCTTCACGGCGCAAGTCAATCTCCTGGCTCTGCGGTTGATATACGAGAGCAGGAGTCCGAAAACCACACCACTTTCGTCTCGTACCAGACCATGAAGACGCGGAAGTCGCGCTTTAGGACTGAGAGTCGCCTTGCTTATCTTTTGATAAATGGCCAGCTCACGAGATGCGGAGCGCAAGTCTCCAGCTTGGAGCCATTTGAGGAAGAATGAAGCTGGGCTGCCAACCGGCCTGACTTTCTTCGGCTTCCCTGCGAGCGCGTGCTCGGGGGTTTCGGCGCAGATTATAACCTTGGATGGCTTGAAGCATTGCCATACTGAGCACAGATTGGGTGGCAGAGGTATACCAAGTCCGATCCACTCCATGTCTTCCTTGGACGGTTCACGCTGGCTTGGAGATAGCTCGCCTACTGTGACCACCAAGATGTAGACCAACGTCTCGGCGGAAAAATAATTGCGAAGAGTGATTTCGGTAGATACACTGACCCCTTTTCTCGGAAGCCCTCGCAGCACTGGTAGAAATGGTTCGATTGACCAGTCCAGAAAGTCATCGACTGTCTGGCCATCCAGTTCGCCTTCGTGTGCAACCTTGAGAAAGAACAGATATTTCTCTTTTAGTTGAAACGAGCCCGAGAAGCTGTCTTCGGAGAGATGAACAACCGGCCGATTGCCATTACACATGACAATGATCATGGAGTCTGTGTCAAGATCGCTTCAGGTGAATTCGGTGATTGCGTAGTAAGGCATATCTTCATCAAGCTCAGACACCGCCGCAGGGGCGGCCACGCAAGTGTCAGATCCTGCTTCAGGGCATGATTCGAGCATCGTGTCTAATGTCGACTTGCTGTTGACGTCCTAGGCCTAGGCGACGTGGGGAGATCGAGTCGCGGATGTAAACGTCACGAAGAGGCGGTGTCGATGTCAAGTTGACATGGCCATAGCACATCCGACGCCGGAAAAGACCAGTAGCAGTGCCCTGGCCTGGACCTCTGGTTGGCACGTGAGGAAGATGATAAAGCGTATTGCAACGAAATCCAAAATACCAGAAGTCACATAGCATTGGCTGAGAACAGCTGTTACTTGTTTGCTTTAACTAAATTTACTTACTGATCGGTTACCCTTATTCCACATGTTTGCTCACAAGCATACAGAGTTCCCTCACTCAGATCACTCCACTAACATCCACCTATAATGCAATACTTCCATCACAACAACTTATCCAGCTCAATAACGCCTATGCCGAAGAACACCAAGTTAGAGCAGGTCTTCAATCCTCCCCCAGGTCCCCCCAGAAGTCTTTGAGATCATCCGCCCGCCACTTAGTCCCCCAACCACTCTCCCGTTCGATCCTCCCTAGCAGCTCTAAAATGGCCGCATGCTCGGCCGGATGGCTCATGCACCGCCCAGCGATCCACAGCGGCTGGATGCTATTCGTCCACGCACCGTGGTGGTGGTTCGTCATGCTGATCCCGCAAATCCGCCGTGCGTGCCAGAGCGCCGACCTCGGGCGCGGCGCGAGCCTGAGGCCCGGCGGGCGGTTCTGCAGCATCAGCAGCGCGGCCGTGTGGTGCAGCTGGTTGCCCGACACGGCAGCGGCATTGCTGTAGAGGACGGTCGGGAACGGGTCCGAGGGCGTTGACGGCGTCGCGAGGACGTGGTGCATCGCGGGCGGGCGGAGGGCGTGCCAGGCCTCGACGTGCCGCCACAGGCGCGCCCACGACGTGCGGTAGCCGGCGTCGCTGCGGGGCCCGTCGAAGAAGAGACCGCCTGGGTTGGCCGCGGCCAGGGGTGCGAGGAGGTCGAGGACTTGGGCGACGAGGTAGACGGAGTAGTTGGCCCACATGTCGAACGTCGTGGCCGAGCGGAAGAGGGCGACGTCGGCGTCGAGGGATGATGCTGCGCTGTGTGGGGAGCCGGTCCAGCGGGAGGCGGGGATGAGGGTCTTGACGGAGGAGATGAGACCGCCGCAGACGTCCATGCGGGCGAAGCACCAGAATAGGGCCTGCTCCAGACCACCAGAGAAGCCCGTCATCTGCACGGCTTCCATGAGACTGGCGCAGCCGTCGAGATGGCGGCGCCAGGCTTTGGGGGAGCAGCTGCACATTTCGAGAACACAGAGGACGACGCACGAAGCGATGACTGGCGTCGTTCGGGTTGAGAGCTGGGGGAGGAGCAGATGGATGGCTTCCTGGTAAAGGGCGAGGCTGCGGTCTGTGGCTCGGTTGGAGTCTTTGAGCTCGAGCTGTCGAGCCGACAAGGCGAGCATGGAATATCGCAAGTGGTCGTGGTCACGAGCCAAGGTGGGCAGCACATTCTGAAAATGACACTGGTTGTCGAATTTGTCCAGCCACGGCGATATCTCTTCGAACCAGTTCTTCCATAGCACAGTCTCCTCTTGTTTGGATAGACTAGGGGGCTCATGGTCCGAGGCTAGGTCATTCTGGATGAGAACTTCGTCGCTTGTTAAAGATGTGCCCGACCTGACGGAGTGCTCTTTGTAGACATCCTCAACACCTTGGGTTGGGGTTCCAGGTCGTGTTGGAACGTTAGACCTCACCTCCTGGATAAGGTGGTTCCTGAGGGTCGAGTGCAGCTCATGGTAAGCCGATCCCGGCAGGAAGATGCCATCGTCGTATGACCCTTCAGGGCTGAAGAGCTGTTCCCCAAAATCAAAGACCTGCTCGAGAATCGGGGACTCGTGGACAATAGGGTTCACCGGTAGCCTTTCCAATGAGTCGAACTGGGTGTGCTGCGACAAGGAGCTTGCCAGGTCATGCGACGCATTCGCTCCACCTTGGCTGAAGAGCAGGAGGTTAGCAACAGCACTGTCAGTGATAATGTGCGAGGCTGCCGAAGGCGAATCCCCAAAATCGGCCAAGTCGGCTGGTTCCTGGTTTCTAAGATTTGCCCTCTCCATCGGCAAGCAAAGCTGTCGACTGCCTCCTGGTTTCTCGTACCTCCTCCTCCCCACAGGCGACGGCACGGCTTGACATCGCGGCGACTCCCCCTCCTCGCTGTCCACCTCGAAGTCAATTGGGTTGTGATACTCCCGAATAACTTCATCCGTGACGTCTAGGATTTCGAACCCCTTTGGTCGCCTCTTTGGAACCTTCATAGATGGGTGATCCCTACATATTGTCTGCGCGTTTTCGTCCCGAAACGTCACCTTGAGGCCCCATCTGCACACCTCTCTCCGCCGAGCGCAGCCGCTGCATGAGGGTTGGGCCTCATCGCATTTGCGCTTCTTGCGACGGCAATTGAGGCACCCTGTGCGGGTCCGCTTCTTCTTGGGTTTCGGCCTCGGTATGGATGTAGAGAGAGGAGAGGACGGCGAGGGTGACGAGAAAGTTTCGTCAGGCATGTTGGGAGTGGTGATGTGGTTGGCAAGCGAGCGGCCCCCATGAGATGGGCATCTCTGCCGAGTTGATGAGCCTGCCGAGACGAACGACAAATATCGAGGCGCTTGACAGAAGATTGATGT